TAGAAAAAAAGGTATATCAGCAACACTTCTGCAAGCTGCAGGACTCCATGTTGTTGTCACATGAGCATCCAGTGCTAACTTCTCTGCCTCATATCTCTGTAAGTACTGACCCTAATTTTTTTTTTATTCTAAAACCCTTAAAAAAGTGTGCTCTTCTTTCTATAATTATTTTTTTTTTTTTTCAAAAGATTCAGGGCGCTGCGTGTGAACGTATATATACGTTTGGACCGTTTAAGGGTTAATATAAGTTAGTGTAAACTCAACAACCCTACGCCTGTTGTGGAATCTCTTGTGGCTTTGGGGAAGTCCATGGGGTTGGATATGAGTGGCCAGGATGGACGACCACAGGGAAGAGCTAACCACTGAAGAGCTGCAACACTGTAGTTATTCTCTATGAAATTTATTTTTTGTTAATATTTTTGGGTGTCTGGAACAGATTAATTGGATTTACATTATTTCTTAGGGAAATATTACTTCAGTTTTCGTACAAATCGGTTTTTGGCCAACCTTCTGGAACGAATTAAAGACGAAAACCGGGGTTCCACTGTATAAGGGATGCCCTCCTGTACATTTGTCAGAGGTGCAGACTGGATTGGAGTGCAAAGGAAAGAACATTTCCCTCATGCCACCAAGTACCATAACCTCCTGTTTTGTTAAAGATTAAATTTGGAGTGGGTGTAGTCTAAATAAAATGGTGGATTTCAAAATGTTTTTTATTTGCTTTGGCATAAATGCTATTTACATAGTTAAAGACAATAAGTTACTTGTAATATCTGTGCAGTTTATGAGTAAAGGGTCTATATATCTTAACCTTTGAGTAGCTGACTTTAGTCAATCAAATTTTTCATGGCATTCATGTAAGATTGTTAGTTGTTTGTACTGAAGTGAATAATGGTCATAATGTTTAGAAAGTTTTAACTTGAATTACAGTAGACAGTCATTTTACATGGATTTATTTGGCATGTTTTGATTATTAAAGTACAGGTACCATCCGATTTACGACCGAGCTTGGTTCCAACCAACTGGTCGTAAGTCAAAATGGACGTAAGTCGAACTTTACTACTGAATACATGTATCAACATCACACTTATTGTAATGATTTTATTTTATTGTTTCATTGTAGTATCTCCTTTTTTACTTTACTTTTTATGCTGTTAGTTCTGTGTTTTATACTGTAAGGTTTAGGAGAAACACTGTGTACAACACAAACATTTGTTTATTTCTTAGAACATTTGCATACAAAACAATGTGTTCGAATTCACTTCAGATGTAAGAAACTGAATGAACAGAGAAGTACAAAATATTGAAATACAGCATAAATGAAACTGCATGAGCAGAAAAGTACAAAATATTGAAATACAGTGTAAATGAAACTGCATGATCAGAAAAGTACAAAATTTTGAAATACAGTATAAATGAAATACAGATAAGGATTGGGACACATTTACAGCCCACTAGTGCTTGGTTGGGGATCATCTATGCTTTCTTCCTCTGAAGGGGTAGGGGTGGGAGGAGGTGGGGGAGCACTCTTCTTGATAAACATACAGAGATTTGTTTGAATTTTCCTTTTTTTCTTTTCATCATAAATGTCTCTGTATGGATGCATTGCATCCTGTACCATTCTCTCAGTATTGGCAAACCTTTCAATGTTAGGGTCCATATTCTCTAATTTTCGTAGCCCTTGGTTTATCAATGAAAAATATTGTGATAATTCATTCACTGAGAACTTCCTTTCTGGCTCCTCTTCTTTTTGTTCGTCTTCTCTCTGTCTTTGTTCTTCTGCTTTTCTTTCTTCTTCTGTTATCAAGAGTTCTTCATTCGTTAACTCTTGAACTTCTTCTGTCAAAAGTTCTTCAATCTCATCCACATCACATTCAAGTTCAAGTTTGTTAGCCAATTTTAAAATCACACCTATCACCATACTTAACTCTTCTTTGTTGTCGAAGCCATGAAAATCTTGAAGAAACCAGGCATTACACTGCTTCCAGACTCTGTTTGTACACTTAGCTGTGACTAACTCCCATGCTTTTGATATGTTTTTGATGCACTGATAAATAGTATACTCCTTCCAAAAATCTCTTAAGAGTTAGTTCTGGGTCTGAATCAATGGCCTCGATAGCTTGATCAGAAGATATGCGCAGATAGTATGCTTTAAATGTTGCAATAACCCCCTGATCCATGGGTTGTATTAGTGGGGTGATGTTGGGGGGCATAAACACCACTCGTACTTTAGGGTCTAGATCGTCCAAGTGAGGAGGGTGGGAAGGCACATTGTCTAAAACTAAAAGAATTTTGAAAGGGACTCCTTTTTCTTGGCAATACTGGCATGCAGCTGGGATGAAACAGTTTAAAAACCAATCCTCGAATAAGGCCATTGTCATCCATGTCTTACAATTGTATCGATAGTGCACAAGGAGCACATGTTTATTTACATTTTTGAGAACACAGGGGTTCTCGGCCAGCACGTTGTTTCAACATGTTAAACAAACTTTTTGCTTTTCCTTGCACTTCAGAAAGCATCACATTCACTTTTTTCTGCCGATAATCTTCTAACCAAACACTGAGCATTTTTTCCATCTTGGCAATTGGGCCTTCACGTTTCTTTGTGATAATTGTTGATGTCATCGGGGCCGAAGATTTCACTGCTTCTTTGATGCGCTCTTTATCCTTAAGTATTGTTGACACAGTGGAGTGAGAGAGGTGAAGATCCCGAGAAATGCTGTTGACGTTTTTCCCATCCTCATACTGCTTAATTACTTTGATCTTCTGGTCAAGAGTAAGAGCCTTTCTTGCCTTCTTGCTACAATCTCCAGTGAAAGATTCAGACTTCCTCTTAGGGGCCATGGTGAAATTTATGGTCCAATTAGTACAGTTAATACAGTATGATGTTGCTGATAGGGCAGGGTAACTCAAAGTGATGTTGCCTGCGTGGCGCATTGCCGGGAGTAGCGGTCAAATATCGTACAGTGGTATGCATCAACCAGCCCAGCCCTGCTGCCAGGGCTGGGCTGGTTGATGCATATTGAAAAATTGCGGCATAATTTTATACAGCACTTCGTAAAATTAACTCGGTTCAGTTTGCGGGAGGGGAAAAAATTTGGAGCGTTACCTGTGGGATATTTCCCTAGCTCAGGCCACTGCCTGGCTATGGGTGTGACCACTGTCTCCACAGGGGTGCACCGGGCTTCAAGGCAGCAAAGGATCCCTTTACCTTGCTCCTTTGCTTTCTGTGTCAGGTGATTTCAAGTGTAAGCCCATGGTTATTTACCACTCTAAGAATCCTCATGCTTTGAAAGATGGAGGTCAAACCAGTCAGCATGGATGACAGAGGAAATACAGTGGACCCTCAAATTTCCTAATCCCTTTTCTGTGTGTAAAACTATAGTTTTTTTTTTTTTTTTCAACAAGTCGGCCGTCTCCCACCGAGGCAGGGTGACCCAAAAAAGAAAGAAAATCCCCAAAAAGAAAATACTTTCATCATCATTCAACACTTTCACCACACTCGCACATTATCACTGTTTTTGCAGAGGTGCTCAGAATACAACAGTCTAGAAGCATACACATATAAAGATACACAACATATCCCTCCAAACTGCCAATATCCCAAACCCCTCCTTTAGAGTGCAGGCATTGTACTTCCCATTTCCAGGACTCAAGTCCGACTATATGAAAATAACCGGTTTCCCTGAATCCCTTCACTAAATATTACCCTGCTCACACTCCAACAGATCGTCAGGTCCCAAGTACCATTCGTCTCCATTCACTCCTATCTAACACGCTCACGCACGCTTGCTGGAAGTCCTCTATAAAATGTATTTTTTGTGTATATTTCCCATAAGAAAAAATGTAAATCCAATTAATCCATTCCAGACACATAAAAATATTAACAAAAAATACATTTTATGGAGAATAACTATAGTTTTACATTCAGAAAAGGGATTATGAAATTCGAGGGTCCACTCTATTTATTTACTGGTTTAAGCATCACTTTATTCCTGAAGTCAAGTTTTCCCTGCACAGCAAGAACCTTGCATTCAAGGTTCTCTTCATTCTTGATAATTCCCGTACTCATCCAGAAGCTTTGCTGGATGTGACCCCACATGTAATACAGTGGACCCCCGGTTAACAATATTTTTTCACTCCATAAGTATGTTCAGGTGCCAGTACTGACCGAATTTATTCCCATAAGGAATATTGTGAAGTAGATTAGTCCATTTCAGACCCCCAAACATACACGTACAAACGCACTTACATAAATACACTTACATAATTGGTCGCATTCGGAGGTAATCGTTATGCGGGGATCCACTGTAGTTGTATTTTTACCTCCAAATACATCATTAATACAACCACTGGATCAGGGAGTTAAGTCATTCAGGTGTAAATACACAATGAAAAGTGATGAAAAAACTAGTTGCATCAGTGGACTCTGACTCCAGTCTGGCAGTACCATGCTTCAGGAATAATGTATAATATATTGAAGGATAGAAGAAGTCAGAGATCCATTGCAGAATTTATGCACACTTCAATACCACCATCGACTTTAGTACCAGAACCTCAACCATTCATTTCTGCCAACAACCAACAACCATCCACCTCAACCCAGTAGGGCCAAACCATGCATCTCCACTCTCTTCACAATCACTGACATACACCAGCAACCACAGTGTAAGGTAAACATTATTTTTGTTGCATTTGTAGTCTTACACAACAAAAACATTATCATTTTTATTTTTGTAAGATCTGGATGTCTAAAAAAAAAAGTTGTTTGGCTTTTTGGTGGGGTTGTAGGAGCATAACCCTATTTTTCCCATAAGTTCTTCAGTTTATATAACAGATTTATCTAACATGGCATTTTCAGGAGCGTAACTACCGTGTAACATGAGGGTCTACTCTACTGTATCAGTATTTGAACTTAGAAAATCTTATAAAATTGAAGGAAGTTTCTTTAATCTCTTCAGTATAGGAAACAGAAGTAAATAATTTTTTAATCTTTTCAGCATCTCAAACATCAGAAGAGGCAAACAGTAGAGAAACACAGCAGAGTACAGAGGATGGGAACAAGGAAGATGATAAAGTGACTTCAGAGTTAGTAAGAACAGAATCAGCAGTAGTTGAGGATATTAGTTCTAGTATCACTGTTAATCAGATCTCAACTGAGGAAGAAGCTAGTGCAGACTTTATATCAGCAACAGAAGAGACTCCAACAGAAGCTATGGAGGAAGAGATTTCTGTTAAGGCTGTGGAAGAGGAGGATGAACCATTAGTGTCTACCATAGATGAGGTTGATTGATCTCGTTCAGTGTCTGCTTAAAACTAAACTATGTGTAATACTTAAAAGTCTGTTTAATTTTGGACTTGACTGTATTATTACCACTTCTAAAATTTATTAGCACCATTCAAAATTTCTTGGGTTTATAAAAGTATATACAGTTTATATAATTATTCCGGGTTTGAAAATCACTTATTTTACTGATATGTTCATTTGCACTTTTATTCAGGATATATTTATTATTCTCTCACTGACCAGTGAGATCTTAGAATTATTATAAAAATATGTACTTGCTAAGCCACAAGCACTATTTCACATGTGTAAGACATTTTTTGATTACATATTCATTTTTTAACATAATAGAGTGAAAAGATGAGCTGTGGTTAATGTTTTTGCTAGTCATAAAATCTTCAAAAGTTACATTTTGATTATTTTGACAAATGATTTATCTTTGTTCCTAAATATCTCATTTGAATGATCTTGTGTATTGGTGATACTCTAGTGCATTTTGCATTAAGTGATGTCTCTTGCAGCTGAGAATTTCTTCTCTCCATTCGTAGTTTTCATTTTACTGTCAAATTTGTTCGCCAGGCATTAACTTTAATAATACATCGTGTTCATTGTGTTCAACTAATTTTTTTCTACTTTTGTTATTAACATTTTTGATCAAGTCAGGCTTGCAAGTGTAGAATCAAATTTGTGTACATAATAAAGCAGGAACTGCTATAACACTTGTCTTGTACATTATCTTCTCTATTAGTTTTACGTACACTCATATGCCCCATTTGTTTGTCTTTGGTTAAGAAAAACATTTCCATTGGTGACAATGTTATTTCCCTCATACAGTTGTTATTGGCATTACGTTACAGTCTGTTAAAATTCTCATTTGCAGAAATTATTAATTGGTATTTGAAGTTGAAATTTTAGATATTCCTTGGTATGCTTTAATTAAATTTTGTTCTCATGTTTTGACTAAATCTCTCTCACTGGCACAGTAAATGTGAGCCAGAATTGAAAAGGGAAATACGTATACACTTAAATTTATTCAATTATATTAGCATATCAATTAAATTACAGTGGACCCCCGCCTTTCGGCGGCCGTGACTTTCGTGAAATCCGACTTTTGGCAACTTTTTCAGCAAAATATAGCCTCGTGGTTCATGATTGGCCTTGTGTCTCACGTCTGTCTACATGTCGAAGTAGCATCCTAGCACCAGCACGCACACAAAGCCAGTCTCCCGCACCATTCACACTTAGTGTGCCATTGTTTATCAGCGAGTGACCATCACCCCACGGGTTCATAGGATACATTTTATAATAATCCATTGTTTTTTGTGTTTGCAACTTCTAAATAAGCCACCATGGGCCCAAAGAAAGCTCCTGGTGCCAGGCCTTTGGTAAAGAAGGAAAGAAACACTATAGAAATTCAAGAAAAAACTCGTACCATAGCACCAAAGTAGAGGAGAAAGAGAGAGGGGTGAATGTGCCTTCTTCAGTGATTCAGTGATTCTCTATTATGTACGACACTAAAGCAGCAGGTATCGATAAAGGCCATAGCGCCAGCTAGCGATAAAGTGTAGCATTAACAGTGTAGCAAGTAAGTTAAGCAATTAAGTGATAGAAAAATGACATGAAAGTAACTCTCCAATGTTGTGGAGGTGTATAGGGCCACTGAACATATGCCACCCTGCTATCTTCCACCCTAAACCTCTGCCAGCATCTCCTCCATCAAACTGATTAAACTAACATCTCCTCCAAGGTAAGTGTAAATATTTCTTATTTATAAATTACATACATTGTTTCAGTGTGAATAGTGTTGGTCGCTTCTGCTGCTGCCTCCACTACCACTAATATGTACGGCTTCTCTCAGTGGCCCTTATAAACCCAACAACACCACCACCAACACTCACTCCTTACATATGTTATGACATATTTTATTCCTTCTAGAGTATATATTATGTTTCTATGTTATTATTATTGTTTATTATGTCATATTAGATGAATTGTGATAGATAAATAAGCCATAGAAATGATATTAGTGTCATATTGAAGCATAATAACTCGCCTCTCTCTCGCCTCCTACCTGTCTGCCATACACCAACAAGAGTCTTCAATACTGGTAAATGTGATGTTAAATGTTCATTTATCCATTTTAATAGTGCTTTATATTCATTTGTCATTGTTTTCTGTATGTAAATCTATATTTAATCTTCAAAAAATATTTTTTGTTAATACTTTTGGGTATCTGAAACGGATTAATTGGATTTCCATTATTTCTTGTGTGGAAAATGGTTTCGCCAATCATGAATTTCGCCATTCAGCAGACTCTCTGGAACGGATTAATCACGAAACTTGGGGGGTCCACTGTACTTTATACACAAGGTAATATTCTAAATTAGCCTAAGGATTAGGTAGGGCTTTCCCAGTTAAAATGTAGCTGGAAATTTGTACCCAGGGCAAGGTTACTCCATCATGTGTTATACCTGGGGTATTGTCACTCAGTATTATACCTCCAGAGGACATGGTCAGTTCATTAAATGTTATACTTGAGGCAGGGCGGCCTTGAACTTAAGAGAGGATGTGTTCTTCAGTATTGCAAAATATTGTTTACTGATATTTTAACCAAAGAATGAAACTTATGTCTTGAATTATTTGTATCCATTAATCATTTATGCAACACAGATTTTGTTGGACAAAACAAGAATCTTTACTTATACATCAGTTAGCTTTAGTAGTCCTGATTATTATTATTATTATTCTTAATGGTATAATGAATATTAAAAAAATTAATGTGACTTTTTTTTTTAAGTTTTCATTTTAGCCTTGCCTGAAATATTGCATATTATAGGCATTGGAAGATGTAAGTACTGTAATGTTCCCAATTTTACATCCAATAATGTAAATTTTTGAAAATAAATATGTATTGTTTATTATTTGTTTCAATAAGAAAGTTCAGATAGATGAACCATTAGTTCAGTTCTTCACCAGTAAAGACTTCAATATTGGGAACACTTCTTGCATTTAGCCAATTCAAGTAACCGCAAGCAACTTAGTCACAGTGTTTTTCTTTCACTACTCTGCTCTATTTCAGTAAATCCTATTTTAACCCCTTAACTGTCCAAACATAGATCTACGTTCTATTGCCCAGCTCTCCAAATATTTTGATTTTTTTTTTGTAAATAAAGAGGACTTTTTTTTACATAATGTTAAAAAAAATTTTGAGCCGGTATTTACAGAGATATAAGGCCGCAGAGTTGGCGCTTGTCAATCACCTGATGGCAATGTGAAGTGCTGCCGCTTGCAGACATGTTGCAAATACATTTTTTTTTTTCTTCATTTTCTGTTTTCATGGTATGACACAAATATTATATACATAATTATTAATCATATTGTCACAAACACACATGTACACACTTATTGGTAATATTGTACACTTGGCTGAATCACATTCTATTATCCACAACTATATATAAGTATTTACATGTCCCAGTTATGTTTCTAGTACTCCAGGATTGTATGATACTCCATGAAGCATGGATTCATACAGAGTGCCACCCCACACTGCTGACACATGAATTGTGTGTCCTTCCTTTGTTGCAGTCGCCTTGTGGTGTTAGCACACACAACACACTTTTTCTGAGAATAAGTATTTCTTTTTTGGGGTAGATGGTATAGGTATCAGGTAGTGACAGTTAGTGAGGATTCGGTCTGGCACTTTCCCCACTGGTTGTGGTTGGGGGACAGGTTGCTGTTGAGCAGGCACAGGTGTGGTACCATACTTTTCTTCTGTCTGCTTGATGACATTCAAGATGAATTCTGCATAATGAAGTCGTTTTCCAGTCTTTATTTCATACATATTGAAGGCATTGAGCATTGCAATGTCTACAAGGTGGAAAAACACTTACGTGTACCACTTGTGACTCCTATGCACACAATCAATGAACCCTATCATCATATCACATTTGTCGACTAGTCCCATATTGTTTGTAGTATAGTTGATGACAGCAGCTAGCTTTACAATGAGTTCATTGGTGTCCCTCTTCACTTTGTCTGTACCACCTCATTTCTGTGGATGGTTGACAGCACTGTCACGTCCTGTTTGCCATGCCACATCGGTGCCATGATGTCATTGGCATGAAACGCTTGCACTGCAGCTTCAGCACTGCCTCCACTGAACCTTGGCATATGTTTTCTATTTCTTCTCACTGTTCCACATTTATCAGTTTTGTTCACACGTAGGAAATCAGCAAGCATAGGGCTTGTATACCAGTTGTCTGTGAACAATGTATGACCCTTGGCAAGGTATGGTTCCATCTTGTGAACAACATCACCGGCAATGCCCAACATCCACCTGTCATCATCGAGTGTGTTTCTACCAGTGTAGACAATGATATCCAACACAACAACACTCTCAGTCACACATAACAAACAGTTTTATACCAAAGCGATTACGTTTGCTCGGTATATATTGTTTAAGTGACAGTCATCCCTTGAACAGAATAAAGAACTCGTCGACAACACTGTTCTTGAATGGATAAAAGTAGGCACTGAATTTCTGCTTCAAATACATAAATACTTCTCAGATTTTGTATAGAAGGTCATTTCTGTTGGGCCTATTCCTGTCTGAGAAGTGCAACATTCGTAGCAACAGAGTGAATCTGTTGTGGGGAAGGAGGTCTCAGAAGACAGGAGTACTGATGAAGTAGTCTGTGGACCAGTACTGTGCTATATTGTGCTTATATGTATGAAGCATAAGCATGACAGTGCCAAGGTATAAATACATTTTGGCCACAGTTGCATCTTTCTATCTGTGCAGTTGTGACGATTCTGCAACATCTGTGTTGTCCATTATATAGTGGTAGTAATTGTTTGTCTGGGTGACAATCAAGTTCATTATCAGTCCATCAAAGTATAATTGGAAAAAGTCTAACTCTGTAGACTTGTTCGTGATGGGACATTCTAGGAGGATGCCACTTTCACTGGCATCAAAATCAAAAGGATGTGGCACGAATGTTGTCCTTTGTGTTCAGTTCCATTCACAGTCATATGGTGCAGGGTGGACCTGTGGAATGGGGAGTGGGGGAGCATGAGGAGGGATGGGATTGGAGGCAGCACATGTTTGAAGGGGTGCCGGGCGGTCCTTTGTCTGCCCACCCACCGCGTCATGTGGCCGAGGCACCATGCCACCCGCCACCACCACCTCCTTTTCCTCCATCCCTGTATATTCTCCTTCTTGATCACTATCACTATCAGTGGCTGGGGTTTTTGATCGTGACCTTCCTTAACCCTTGGGAACTACACATGGCACCCTGTCTGAGCGTAGACACTGCCACCTAAAAGTATGCTTCACTGGGGAATAATGTATAGCACTGTCACTTGACGAATTATCTATGGGCATAAAATATATCTCGTCATCACTTGTATCATTTTCACTTTCCCGTAGTAGCCTCTGAGTTGTAACACTGGCCACCCCAGAGGTGCTCAGCCAATGGTCTGGGATGGCCATGCTAGCCAGCCCAGAAGTGTTTGGCTGAGGGTTTGGTGTGGCCACACCAGATTTGCTTGGCTGAGGGTCTGGCATGGCCCCACTGGCCACCCCAGAGGTAATGGGCTGAGGGTCATCTGAGTTATCGTTAATATTTTCACCAATTACTTGATCGTTAGTGGCCACATCAGTCTCAAATCCACTAAACTCACATTCTATATCACTTTCCTTGAATAAGAGAGTGTTAATATGATAGGCATGAGTGAATCACGAGGGTTTGCCGTGATGTTGACCCAAGATGGAGCTGAAACTAACTGGTGCTACCATGCAGTACCGCGGGGTCCCCGATTTTTTTCATACGGCACACACTGAGTGCGCAGACCCATTCTTTCATGTCTAGGCCACTCAGGCCTATCGCACCAAATTTGAAGACAGGAAAAATAAAATGTTGATCTACCTTCTGAGTGCTAGCGGTAAGAACGTTTGGACAGTTAAGGGGTTAAGTAAGAAAAGTTTTTTTTTTTTTAATTGTATAGAGTTGTTACTAGTCATTTGTGAGTTCTTATCTGCAATTAGTTAATGGCTCCCTGGATTATTGACTCGGTGGCTGTGTCTCGCACCAAATTTCATGGTTACAGTATGGCCTTACCAAAAATCCCTCATCTAACCATATTTAACCCATTGTAATTTGATAAATTAGTACTCAGCTTATTTATTTTTATAGTTTATGTAGAGATTCAGTATAGATGAGTGCAGTATATATGTCTTCACCACTGGGTACAACAGTATTGAAATAAAAGAAGATGAGGAATATTTTATGCAAAATTTCAGCTCATGAACAAATAATAAAGTTTTATCACAAACTAAAGCTTTACCTTTCACACCAACCTCAAGGTCTGTTAAAAGCACAAGTTTAAATTCTATTTTCTGTAATCTTGTATTATTTAGTCACACATGGTCTTCTTTCTTCTTTCAACAAACCAGCCATATCCCACTAAGGCAGGGTGGCCCAAAAAAAGAAAAGCAAAAGTCTCTCTTTTTTTAACTTTAGTAATATATACAGGAGAAGGGGTTACTACCCTCTTGCTCCTGGCACATTAGTCTCCTCTTACGACACACATGGCTTACGGAGGAAGAATTTCACACATAGGTGATACCATGTAAAATAGTTATGTGCCTTCAAAGTCTTGGTAATTCCATGCAGTTGTCTTTTGTCGTTTATAGTGTATTCAACTATCCACAACTCTGTTGGCATGTTTGAGAAGTGAATCTTATTACTGCACTGCAGTTATGTAGGGGTAATGCTAGGGATATCTCAGACATATTTACACTGCACACAATTGAAGCACCATAGGGATATTGTACTGAACTGCCTGTAGCACCAGAGGGATATTGTACTGAACTGCCTGTAGCACCAGAGGGATATTGTACTGAACTGCCTGAAGCACCAGAGGGATATTGTACTGAACTGCCTGTAGCACCAGAGGGATATTGTACTGAACTGCCTGTAGCACCAGAGGGATATTGTACTGAACTGCCTGAAGCACCAGAGGGATATTGTACTGAACTGCCTGAAGCACCAGAGGGATATTGTACTGAACTGCCTGTAGCACCAGAGGGATATTGTACTGAACTGCCTGAATCACCAGAGGTATATAGTACTGAACTGCCTGAAGTGCCGGAAAGTTTACTAGACTATCAGTCAATTGTATTGGGCTAACACTCCTATGGTCTGTTTTCGTGTAGAGGAGAGGATTAAACAGGTCTATTCTCTACTGCCCTTATCCAGTTAGCAATCACTACACAAAGCACATAGGTGCTGTGTGTTTTGTGTATCAAGTCCCAGAGAAATATCACTTTCACAAACAAGCTTATGATTAAAGTCATGCAAGGAAAAAATCCAAAGATTGAGTAAAGAGTTTTTGTCTGATTTAACCCTTTGACTGTCGCGGCCGTATATATACGTTTTACGAGGTGCCGTGTTTGACGTATATATACTCATAAATTCTAGCGGCTTCAAATCAAGCAGGAGAAAGCTGGTAGGCCCACATGTGAGAGAATGGGTCTGTGTGGTCAGTGTGCACCATATAAAAAAAATCCTGGAGCACGCAGTGCATAATGAGAAAAAAAAACTCCGACCGTTTTTTTTAATTAAAATGCCGACTTTGTGGTCTATTTTCGTATAGTATTTATGGTTGTATTCTCGTTTTCTTGGTCTCATTTGATAGAATGGAAAACATATTACAGAAATAGAGGTGATTTTGATTGTTTTTACTATAAAAAGAACCTAGAAATGGAGCTCAAAGTAGGGGAAATGTTTGATTTTTGCCAATGTTCAAAAGTAAACAAATGATGCCATTGTCCAATAAATGTCCAACTAGCCATTCTAATATGCAGTCATGAATGGGTTGATGTTATTTATACAGTTATTACAGCATTGTAGTAGTCTGCATAATAGTAAGTCTAATATTTTTTGTTTGAATAAAAATTCAAAATAGAAAGCAAGAGTAATATCAGAAGGGCCTGGAGACGTGACTGATGAACAAAGAAAATGTTATTTTAGAGCCAGGAATGTCTGCATTGTTCATTCTGGACCTTATTTTGAAATTGTCATATTTTTAGTTTTCGTGAAATTGGCCAAATTGCAAATTTCTGACCACATTATTAGGTAGTTGAAATCAGTAAATGGGCAGTTTCTTGTATTCAATCGATAGAAAAAATGAAGTTCTAAAGAAATAGCTATGAGTTTGGGCGATTGGAACAATGGAATTAGCCGAAAATAGGGCTCAAAGTGGGCGAAATCGCCGATTTGTAAACAGCGCCGAGGTCGCTAACTTCGCGAGAGCATAATTCCGTCAGTTTTCCATCAAATTTCGTTTTTTTGGTGTCATTACAATCGGGAAAAGATTCTCTATCATTTCATAAGAAAAAATAATTTTTTTTTTTTTTTTAAATTTTGCGACACCAGGAGACACCTCAGGATTGGGGGTTGCGACAGTCAAAGGGTTAAATTAGGTTTGATCTAGTTTCAAGTGGATGCTTTCCTTCACCAGCTTGCAAAAACCTAATTGTTTCATATACAGTAGACCATTCAATAACACACAATTGAGCAACACTTGTTGTGCATAATCATATTGAAATTTTGTAATCCAGTTTTGAGTGGCCCTTCATAAATTTAGGGGAAAAAATAGCAAAAGGCAGGGCATGAAGGCTAATAACCCATAATTTCCTGTGCCTTTAATAATCGTTTACTTACATTAGGTATATATAAAATTTGAATATGTTAATGGATCTACTACTATTTCCCCTTCTCAAAACTTGTGGGAGGTGCTAGGTCTGTCCTACAGTGAGTCCTGCACTGCATAATATTTACACCACACATTGCCCTTAGACAGGACATCTCCACTGCCTCCAGCTGCCTCCTTGCTGCAGCATTTACAACCTAAGCTTCACACCCATATAAGAGTGTTGGTACCACTATACTTTGGTACATTCCCTTCTTTGCCTCCATGGATAATGTTTTTTGTCTCCACAGATACCTCAATGCACCACTCACCTTTTTCCTTCATCAATTCTATAGTTCACCTCATCCTTCATAAACCCATCCACTGACAAGTCGACTTCCAAATATCTGAAACCATTCACTTCTTCTATGCTCCCTCTCTCCAATGTGATATCCAATTTTTCTTTATCTAAATCATTTGATACCCTCATCACCTTACTCGTATCTATATTCACTTTCAATTTTCCACCTTTACACACCCTCCTAAACTTGTTCACTAACCTTTGCAACTTTTCTTTAGAATCACCCAAAAGCACAGTATCATCAGCAAAAAGTAACTTTGTCAACTCCATTTTAAATTATAAATATATAAATCACTTGAATTACAGATTAACCCTTTCAGGGTCTGTGCTGTAGATCTACGGCTTTACGTTCAGGGTCCAAACCGTAGATCTACACCATGAGCTCAGCTCACTCTGATAAGCTGTGAGTGGTAAATTTGGGCCTAGATATGAGAGAATAAATCTATGTGGTATGTGTGCACCACATAAAACAAATCCTGCAGCACACAGTGTATAATGAGAGAAAAAAAACTGAGACCGTGATTTTCGATTAAAACAGCGACTTTGAAGTGTTTTTTCATATGTTTTTTATAGTTATATTTGCAATTTCTTGGTCTCATTTGATAGAATGGAAGACATATTACAGAAATAGAGATGATTTTGATTGGTTTTAGCACTGGAAATGGCTTGAAACTGAGCTCAAAGTAGCAGAAATGTTAAATTTTTGTCGATGTTCAAGAGTAAACAAACGACTTCACACGTCTAATACACACCAGGTGGTGGGTCTGATATACATTCACACATGTGGTGATGATATTAATACAATTATTACAATATTGCATAACAGTAAATCTTCTATTTTTTGGTTTGAATAAAAATTCATTATGTGAATTAAAAATCAAAATGGAATTCATTTGTAAAGCCTCAAAACATACCTAATGAACAGAGGAAATGTTAGTTTAGTGCCAGGAATACCTACATTGTTTATTCTAGACCCTATTTTGAAACTGGAATATTTTGAACTTTGTGTTAAATTGGCCAAATTACCAATTTCCGATCACTTAATTTTGTAGTTGAAACAGTTGACTTGGTGATTTCTTGTGCTCAGTCGATAGAATAGAAGTAACACTAGTGAAATAGCTAAGAATTTGATCGACTCGAATAATGTAATTGGCCTAAAATGGGAGTCAAAGTCGGCAAAATCGCCGATTTGTAAATATCGCTGACACATCAAAATTTGCGAGAGCATAATTTCGTCAGTTTTCCATCAAATTTCATACTTTTTGTTTTATTACCTTCAAAAAAAGATTCTCTACCATTTCATAAGAAAAAATTACAAATTTTCTTTTTTTTTGAAAATTCTTGGACCCTGGTGTGCACTTAGAAATTTGGCCTCTGGACCCTGAAAGGGTTAACTTATAAGTGGATTAAGCAGCCATTTTGGGCCCCATCAAATGGGGGGCCTCCAAGTCATTAACTATTTGTTTCTTAACCATAAGTTGTTTCCCTATCTGTAATGTTTGGTAGTGTTTGGTTGTGTGGGTTCTATGCGCATCCACAAATATTTATTTGAATATTATATGAACTATTTTGATTCTGAAATCAAAATGCAATTACAGCCTCTCCTTGCTTAACGATGGAGTTCCGTTCCTAAGATCAAGTTGTTAACCCTTGTACTGTTTCGGTCAAGCCACCGTGTTTGATGTATATATACTCATAAATTCTAGCGAAGAGAATGGGTCTGTGTGGTCAGTGTGCACCATATAAAAAAATCCTGCAGCATGCAGTGCATAATGAGAAAAAAAAAACTACGACCGTTTTTTTTAAATTAAAATGCTGACTTCGTTGTCTATTTTTGTATAGTATTTATGGTTGTATTCTCATTTTCTTGGTCTCATTTGATAGAATGGAAAACCTGTTATAGAAATAGAGGTGATTTTGATTGGTTTTACTATGAAAAGAACCTTGAAATGGAGCTCAAAGTAGGGGAAATGTTTGATTTTTGCCGATGTTCAAAAGTAAACAAATGTCATTTTCCAATAAATGTCCAAGCAGCCATTCTAATATGCAGTCATGAATGGGTTGACATTATTTATACAATTATTACAATATTGCAGTAGTCTGCATAACAGTAAATCTTATATTTTTTGTTTGAATAAAAATTCAAAATAGAAAGTAAGAATAATATCAGAGGGGCCTGGAGACGTGGCTGATGAACAAAGAAAATGTTATTTTAGAGCCAGGAATGTCTGGATTGTTCATTCTGGACCCTATTTTGAAATTGTAATATTTTTTATTTTTCGTGAAATTGGCCAAATTGCAAATTTCTGACCGCGTTATTGGCTAGTTGAAATTGGTAAATGAGCAGTTTCTTGTACTCAGTCGATTAAAAAAATGGAGTTCTAAAGAAATAGCTGTGAGTTTGGTTGACTGGAACAATGAAATTAGCAGAAAATAGGGTTCAAAGCAGGCGAAATCGCCGATTTGTAAATATTGCCGAGGTCACTAACTTTGCGAGAGCGTAATTCCGTCGTCAGTCTCCCATCAAATTTCGTTCTTTTGGTGTCATTACAATCGGGAAAAGATTCTCTATCACTTCTTAAGAAAAAAATGTTTTTTTTTTTTTTTGGAAATTTTGCGACGCCAGGAGACACCTCAGGATTTGGGATTGCGACAGTCAAGGGGTTAAAAAAATTTGTCACTAAGTGACGAGCATACTATAATGATAGTGAATGTCAACCATTTTTTATATTGTTTTAATGTCACCTTTGCACCATTAATAACATTTCTGGTATATTTTTAAGTGTTTATACAATAGTGTACTATATATTGAAATAAACAGAATAGAGGAAATCAGCTCTAATATACATTATTTGGGTATGAATACTGGTCAGAGAGCCTGTCGTGAGGAGAGGCTATATTTACATTGTCATATTTTCTTGAACATTTATTTTGAATAATCACTTTATCTGACAACTTGCTTACAGTGGGCCTGAGGCAGTCATATAGTACTGCCTCTAGTGTTAAAGTTTAATTTCCACTTATGAAAAGCTAACAGAGAATGATAGTAAATTGTGAAAAAGTAACTAAATGAGATATTGAAGGGATGATCTTGTGGCACTGCCATGGTAACTGTTTGAAATTTATATGATTACTATGGCATGTACTGTGTCGTTCCTGTACACCACTGGTTAAAACTCAAGGAGTTGTAACCATTAATAACTGCAACAACAACTAATTTTCCACATCATTTTATTAATGTACAGTAACACTGCATTTTTCTTGATTATTTATCAAATGCTTTCATATTTAGTATATGTTTGGTATAGGTGTGGTGAGTTACTATTTGTTTGTTACACTTTGGTAGGAAATGTGGATTATTATAGCAGTTGGTAGTGGTTGCTACTCCTTGACACATGCTGATGGTGGTGGTGGTGGTGGTTGATTCTTCTTGTCATTCTAACACACACATTGTACAGGACTATATTAACCTTCGTCATGCGTTTCCACATCATTAAGAAACAACCACTGCAGCTTAAAGAATGGAGAACTATTAGTTTGGTGAATTACAGAACCTTAAAAATACTTGCTTGACTTTTCTGGAGGCCTCAAGACTAAAACTATTTTTTCTATTTGTTCTTGAGTTCACTTAACATGATTTTGAGTAACACACATTGTAAGGAAAATAACTATCATGTTATTTGATGGTGAAATGTATATCCTGCCACTAACTACAGAAATAGTTCCCACAATAAAATAATGTTAATTATCCACCATTGTCAGGAAGTCTTCACTCTCTACCTACCAGTATTATGTTTTTTCTTTAATTTTAGCTGCACTTTTCTTTGGATCACAATTGATTGCCTCCCAGCTTCAGGAATTGTAATACCCCTGCAGGTTTAGTGCTTCTCATGATATACTGGTAATATGTTTGTCTTAGCCATATCAATTATGCAGGCATCTCTTAGTTCTCTTTTTTTTTCAAGTTTATTTTATCAAAATATTACACTACTAATATGTAATAATCAAGTCATTACTTAATTTAAAAAAAATAATTTATGTAGTGGCCTAAGTGCATGATGAACAATAGTTTTAATTTAATAATAATGGTAGTAATAATAGAAGTAGGTTGGTGGACAGCAACTGCCCAGGGAGGTACTACTGTCTTGCCAAGTGAGTGTAAAATGGAAGCCTATACATGTAATTGTTTTACATGATGGCAGGATTGCTGGTGCCTTTTTTCTGTCTCATAAACATGCAAGATTTCAGGTAAGTCTTGTTACTTCTACTTACACTTGGGTCACACTACACATGCATGTACAAGCATATATATACACACCCCCTCTGGGTTTTCTTCTATTTTCTTATTAGCCCTTGTTCTTGTTTATTTCCGTAAGCCATGCATGTCATAAGAGGCAACTAAAATGCTGGGAGCAAGGGGCTAGTAACTCCTTCTCCTGTATATGTTACTAAATGTAAAAAGAGAAACACTTGTTTTTCTTTTTGGGCCACCCTGACCCTGCCTCGGTGGGATACAACCGGTACATTGAAAGAAAGAAAGAAGCAGTAGTATTAATAATAACATGAAGAGATTCAGGGAAATCAGATAGCCAGACTTGAAGAAGCGGCAAGGATGCTGTAGTTTGGAGAGTCACCTGAACTGTGACATCAGCGCACTTCTGGAAAGATGGTGATTGAATGATTGATGGTAAAAGTGTTTTCCTCTTTGTCGGATTACCCTTCCTTGGCTGGGGTATTAAAAATAATTATAATAATAATATTAATAATGATAATATGTATGTAATTCTTTATTAATTTTCTATTCATTATAAATTAAATATGCTAGAATTTCATTAATGGGTAAATATTTTACCATGTTTTTCCACTGTTTCATAACATTTTCTGTTGCCTGTGCTCTCTTCTGTACTTAAAACCAGATTACAGAGATGTGTTGTTGTTATTGTTATGGTGAACTGAGCAGGTATGGTACAGTGGAACCTCAGTACTCGCACTTAATTTGTTCCAAAAGGCTGTTCGAGTGCCGATCTCTTCGAGTACAGAACAAATTTTTCCCAACCAATTTTCTTTTTGGTTGGCTTTTATCACTAATCTTCATAGGTCTCATGGTGACTTATTTATACAAATAATATAAAAAACTTAAAAAATGTTAAGAAACACAAAATAATTTACAGCTAAGTTCTGGCTGATTGTGTGTTTGGGCGAGTGCCGAACAAGCAGTCAACTACCAAGCAATTTTTTTTTTTACCAAGCGAAGCATTCGAATACCAAATTGTTCAAGTAGGGACCTGTTCAAGTACCATGATTCCACTGTATACTGTTATCTGTTAATGTGATGATTCTGCAGTATAATTGATAGTGTTCATTGTCATCTCTGTTCCTAGCAACACACCATTAACTTCAATTATGTCTTTTTTGTTAAAACATAACTTTATGGATCTTTAATAAATACTCTCTGTACATTTGGAATATGTCAGCATAGCAGTGAACTGCATAATGTAATCTAGTAACTATTTTCCTCTAAATGAGGATGATTTACAGGAGAATAAATTTGTTATAAATAATGCTGGTTAGTGAATGTATTGCAGGATTGTGATTCTTTGTCTTGAGTGTACATTTCTTTGTTAATAGCCAGCATCACAAATGAGAAAGCTCAGTTTGTGTGTGCACTTTGAATAATATTAATTATTATTCAATATTTGGAGTTATGAAAATATTTTGTTAGCTCAGAATAGTTTAACACTCATCTTAGTTTTGAGCATTGTTGCTCATTTAACCCTTTCACTGTCAGTGCCATAATATTACGGCTTGCAAGCCAGTGTTGGTACCCTAATATTATGCCAAAATTCTAGTGGCCTCCAATCTTGCAGAAGAAAGCTGGTAGGCCTACATATGAGAGAATGGGTCCGAGTGGACAGTGTGCGCAGTATAAAAAAAATCCTGCAGCAAGCAGTGCATAATGAGAAAAAATAACTCCGACCATGTTCTTCGTTTTAAACACTAACTTTGCAGTGTATTTGCGTATGGTATTTATGGTTGTATTCTTGTTTTCTTGGTATCATTTGAAAGAATGGGAGATTTTTTTTTTTCAACAAGTCGGCCGTCTCCCACCAAGGCAGAGTGACCCAAAAAGAAAGAAAATCCCAAAAAAGAAAGTACTTTCATCATCATTCAACACTTTCACCTCACTCACACACAATCAATGTTTTTGCAGAGGTGCTCAGAATACAACAGTTTAGAAGCATATACCTATAAAGATATACAACATATCCCTCCAAACTGCCAATATCCCAAACGCCTCCTTTAAAATGCAGGCATTGTACTTCTCATTTCTAGTACTCAAGTCCGGCTATATAAAAATAACTGGTTTCCCTGAATCCCTTCACTAAATATTACCCTGTTCACACTCCAACAGAATGGAAGATATACTACAGAAATAGATTTGATTTTGAATGGTTTATGGACTAAAAGTACATTGAAATTGAGTTCAAATTAGCAGAAATGTTCAATTTTTGCAGATATTCAAGAGTAAACAAACACGTTATGCATCCAATACTTGTCAACTGGTGGGTCTAATATGCTTTCACAAATACACTGATTTTATTTGTACTATTTTTACAACAATGCATTAAATCTATTTTTTGTGTGAAAAAAAATTCAAAATAGAAAGCAAGTGTAATATAAGAGGGGCCTGGAAACATGACTAATGAACAGAGAAAATGTTATTTTAGTGCTAGGAATGTTTATATTGTTAATTCTGGACCCTATTTTGAAATTGGCCTTACTTGAATTGTGTATGAAATTGGCCAAATAATCAATTTCTGATCACTTTATTGGGTAGTTGAAATTGGTAAATGGGTGGTTTCATGTACTCAGTCAGTGGAACAAATGGAGTTCTAGCAAAATAGTTATGAGTTTGGTCAACTGGAACAGTGGAATTGGCCAAAAATAGGGCTCAAAGTGGGCAAAATCGCCAATGCTTAAATATTGCTGAGACCGCTAACTTTGCAAGAGCGTACTCCCATAAATTTTCCATCAAATTTCATACTTTTAGTGTTATTACCAATGGGAAAAGATTCTCTATCATTTCATAAGAATTTTTTTTTTTTTTTTTTGAAAATTCTTCAACCGTGAGAGCAAGTTTGTGAGGTGTGATCTCCACAGTGAAAGGGTTAATATTAGTTGTCTTTTAAGGCAGCTTTTTTTTTTTTTAAATATTAGCTCAATTTGGAGATTGGCAGCTGTTGATAATGCATTTAGTTTTATCATTTACTTTCTTAATTATCAGTTTGACTTTTATTGTTATTAAGCACATGCATATTATACAGGTGTGAGAAACGAATGGTATGAGAATATCTTTACATAATATTGTTCATTCATAACTGTTTATGGGATGCATTTTTAACTATTTGCCTTTCACTCTTGTTCCCATCCTCCATGGTTCTGCCTTATTAATGTGAATGTCCCTTTTCCATATAGGTTATGACCCATACAGGTTTAGTGCTTCCTTAATAATTATAATGAAATTGTTCTGGCATTATGCACTTTATGTGCAGTGTATGTATTTTATATAAATTTAGTAAACTTGATTGGTACACAAGTTGAGAATGTTTCATAGCCCTTTACTTTATTCTGAATACAGATAATGTTTGAAATGACACTAGGAAAGTACTGTGCCTCAGATGAATCAGTACTCACCTTGTGCCATGCTGAACAACACTTCTCCCAGCTTGTGTGTAAGGGCTGTGAAGCATGTACAGTTAAACCTGGATTTGTTTTAAGACTATTAAAAAGTGCACCCAAAAAGTCAGTGCACAAATACAATGGCCCTTAAGCTAGGTAAAATTGAAAAAAAAAAATAAAGCATGAAATGTGTGTAGTTCCCTTCGTAGATTTTGTAAATCTGCGGCTGGGACATGAGCAATGCCAATGCTAGCTCTTGGGCCATAAGTGATACCCTCTCCAGCCTCCCATAGCATTATTTTTACCTGATACTGAGTTTTCCATTATTTATATAACTTATCAATATGTAATTTATATAAAACACCTGTATAAAAAGTTTGAAGAAAATATATAATGCATTAATAAGACTTTCTTAGGATTATTAACCTCGTAGGTTAGTGACCCATTATTGTAAACTATCATATTTACACTAATTACATAGTTTCATGCCTTTAACAGTTGTATACCAACTTATATAAATAATATAGGAGTGAAAAAGGTTTAAGGGGGAAAGTTGTAAGTATAGTGGAAGGATGATTTTGACCTACTTGCAGTCATGAGTCAGTCAGCTGACTACCCAAGCACACTGCACATGTAGAGAGAAATCAACATCTTGCTAGTTAAGGCAAAGGATTGTTTATTTGGCTAATAAAATGAGGGAAGATGTAGGAGTAAGTCAACTATATGTTTGGTATAATTTGGTAAAGAAATGTGTCCTTTTAGAATGTTGAGATGAGGGATCCAGCTGATGATGCTTCATTAAGAAGTGGGGCTCAATGCAACTGTGGAAATGTGACTTATTTTTATGATGTTTTTGTGTAATGGTTGTGTGTGTCATTTGAATAACCTGCTACTGTTCATCTGACTGCCCAGTAGACCCTTAGTCATCTTTCCCACATTCTTCAAGTAATGATTAACAAAACGTAAAGTTAGATCATCTGTGTTATTCTTACATACAAATTAATGTGGTTTACACATAATAAAACATTGTTAGACATAAAAGAAAGTCACTAGTATGCAGTGCATTTCAGGCAGAGTAATCCTAATGAGATATTAAGGTTTGTTTGGATTTTTAACCCGGAGGTGTTAGCAATCCAGGATAACTCAAGAAAATCAGTGTGTCATTGAGGACTGCCAGTCTTATTTCCATTGTGGTCCTTCAGTCTTGTCCCCCAGGATGCGACCCACACCAGTCGACTAACACCCAGGTATCTACTTACTGCTAGGTGAACGGGGACAGCAGGTGTAAGGAAACTTGACTTAATTTCCACCCTTGCCAGGAATTGAACTATGGACATTCAGTGTACGATGGGAGTGTGTTGCCAACCATGCCACAGGACACTGTTAAGTAGGATTTCTTATTTAGTTAACTAAAAATATATGTACATTAAGAAAGGTAGCTAATGAACAAATGGTACTATTTCAAAAATGTAACTTATTATTGAATGATCTTCAGTTTTGTGAAGTGATTGAATGGAGATACAGGAAGTCAATTACTGTAGAAATATAATGGGATGAGATGTGTAACTAATTTTTTCTGGGAGTTGAAGGAAGACTGGAATTAGAACAGCAACAGAGTTGGACGAGCTAGCTTTGTTTGACACAGTGTATTGCTGCTGCAGTTACGTTAAGGAGATGAAGTCATTTTTGACAATAGCTCCAAGTCATTGGCAGACAGGATCTTTTGATGCTTTAGGCAATGAATTCCAGATCTTAGGGCCTTTTATGTGCATTAGAGTTTTTACACAGGTTGAGTTGGACACAGGGGATATCAGAGAGTTTTGTGTCTTGTGTTATGCCTGTGTGTTCTGTTGCAACTATCAAGGGAAAGTTTCAGAGAGGGTTTATATTGGAATTGAATGTTCTATATATATAGTAGGCACAATAATATGAGTGAATATTTTGTTGAAAGAAGTAAATTCAGGCTTTTAAAGAGTGGGGGAGTGTGTTGTCTGGCACTGGAATGGGGGATAGTCCTCACAGTGGATTTTTGTTGGTTTTAGGTGATTTGGTTTAGTAGATCCCCAGACACAAATACCATAGGTGAGGTAAGAGTAAGTTAGAGTGGTATAGTGTAAGTAGTGTTGTGTGAGGTGCCTGTTGGAGAGGATGCCTACTATTTTGGGGACATTACACATGTATTGGATGTGGAAATTAAATTTCAAGTTGCATTTAATGTGTATACCTAAAAATTTGCCCTCAGTGTGTCTTATTAGGGAAGAACTGTTAATCATTATGTTTTGTTGGATATTAGAGACTGTTTCCAAACATCATGTAGTAGGTTTTGTCAGTAATAATGTTGAGTTTGTTGGTAATCATCCACGAAACATTTTTAGGAGCTCATCATTAACAATGTCACTGAGAGTAGTCAGATTTAAGTGGGAGATGTCTCAAGTCATGTCATCTGTGAACAAAACAAGTTCTAGGAGATGAGATGCGTTGATGTAAATGAGGAAAGAGCAAAAAGCCAAGGACACTGTCTTGAGGCATTCCTATGTCAACAGGCTAAATTGACGAGGTTACACTGTTGATGGAAATATACTGGTATGTAAGATAAAACTCAAGGTATGCAAGGGTATGACCTCTGACTATAATGTTCTAGTTAAAGGTGCAGGATGTTGTGGTCCACTATATATAAAGCTTTCCACAGATCTATTAATAGTCCCAAAGGATATTCATTATTTTCAAGAACTGCATAAAACAGTTCAAGCACTTTTATAATTGCATCATTTGTACTTTCTTTGGCCTAGAACCAAACTTGCAGGGATTGAGTACATTGTGAGTCACTAGGAAAGAGTAAACTTGTTTGTGGATTATTTTTTCTAAGATTTTAGATAGTTATGGAAAGTTGGATATTGAAAAGTAGGACATGTGTTGGGTATCTTCATTGTTAATTAAAATGTTTAGGCTGCACAGTAGGCTTCTTCAGAAGTAAAGATAATTATGATCATTTCATCACCCTTGGAGAAATAATTTTTGAGGCAGTCAGTCCCTCAACCGGGAGAAGTGTTTAGCTCCATTGTTTGGAATAATACGAAGTTGAAGCAACTTACAATATTTTGATGTCATGATGGTGCAATAGTGATGCCCACTCAGTGGTCATCATGCTTTGAATTTTGATCTGTTGATACTGAGGCTGAGGAGCTTTCCATTGAGGAGCTGATCGAACGTGAGTACCTGTACAATGTATCACTACATGTACTGTACCTGTATCATCCTTAGGTATTCAAATCAATGTACTGTAAAACTTTTTTTGTACTATACAGTACTGTACATTTATTTAGTTACAGTAATTATTTGTTTATTTATTCAGGGTGACCCAAAAAAGACACTTTCACCATCATACATACATAATCCTGTCTTTGCAGAGGCACTCAGATATGACAATTTAGCTGTCACTCCAGACAGCCAATATCCCAAATCCTTCCTTTAAAGTCCAGGCATTGTATTTCCCACCTCCAGGACTCAAGTCCATCTAACCAGTTTTCATGAATCCCTTCACAAATTATTACCCTGCTCACACTCCAGCAGCTCATCAGGTCCCAAAACCCATTCATTTCCATTCACTCCTATCTAACACGCTCACTCATGCTTTCTGGAAGTCGAAGCCTCTCACACACAAAACCTCCATTACCCTCCCTTGCTCCAACCTTTCCTAGGGTGACCCCTACCCCATCTTCCTTTCACTACAGATTTATATGCTCTCCAAATCATTCTGATTTGTTCCATTCTCTCTAAATGATCAAACCACCTCAACAACCCCTCTTCAGCCCTCTGACTAATACTTTTAGTAACTCCACACCTCCTCCTAACTTCCACACTACGAATTCTCTGCATAATATTTACACCACACGTTGCCCTGAGATACAACATCTCCAATTCCTCCAGCCTCTTCCTTGCTGCAATATTTACTACCCATTTTTCACACCTTTATAAGTGTGTTGGTACTGCTATACTCTTGTACATTCCATGGATGACATTTTTGTTTCCACAGATATCTCAAAGCATCATTCACCCTTTATACTTCTATTCTATGGTTAACCTCATCCTTCATAAACCCATCTATTTACTTATTCATCAAGTCCTAACCGATATAAGCTGGGAAGATATACTAAGCAACACAGACCCCAACTTATGCCTAGAACAGATTAACTCGGTAGCACTCGATGTATGCACAAGGCTTATTCCTCTAAGAAAAAGGAGGAGTAGATGTAAAACAGAAAGAGACAGGCGCTCCCTTTACAGGCGACGGAAAAGAATAACAGAGCGGCTAAAAGAGGTCAATATATCTGAAATGCGTAGGGAGACACTGGTCAGAGAAATAGCAAGCATCGAACTTAAGCTAAAAGAATCCTTTAGAGTCAGGAATCGCGGGAAGAACTAAAAGCCATAAATGAAATTGAAAGAAACCCAAAGTATTTCTTCTCCTATGCCAAATCAAAATCGAGAACAACGTCCAGTATTGGGCCCCTACTTAAACAAGATGGGTCCTACACAGATGACAACAAGGAAATGAGTGAGCTACTCAAGTCCCAATATGACTCAGTTTTTAGCAAGCCGCTAACCAGACTGAGAGTCGAAGATCAAAATGAATTTTTTATGAGAGAGCCACAAAATTTGATTATACACAAGCCTATCCGATGTTATCCTGACGCCAAATGACTTCGAACAGGCGATAAATGACATGCCCATGCACTCTGCCCCAGGCCAGACTCATGGAACTCTGTGTTCATCAAGAACTGCAAGAAGCCCTATCACGAGCCTTTTCCATCCTATGGAGAGGGAGCATGGACACGGGGTCGTCCCACAGTTACTAAAAAACAACAGACATAGCCCCACTCCACAAAGGGGGCAGTAAAGCAACAGCAAAGAACTACAGACCAATAGCACTAACATCCCATATCATAAAAATCTTTGAAAGGGTCCTAAGAAGCAAGATCACCACGCATCTAGAAACCCATCAGTTACACAACCCAGGGCAACATGGGTTTAGAACAGGTCGCTCCTGTCTGTCTCAACTATTGGACCACTACGACAAGGTCCTAAATGCACTAGAAGACAAAAAGAATGCAGATGTAATATATACAGACTTTGCAAAAGCCTTCGACAAGTGTGACCATGGCGTAATAGCGCACAAAATGCGTGCTAAAGGAATAACAGGAAAAGTCGGTCGATGGATCTATAATTTCCTCACTAACAGAACACAGAGAGTAGTCGTCAACAGAGTAAAGTCCGAGGCAGCTACGGTGAAAAGCTCTGTTCCACAAGGCACAGTACTCGCTCCCATCTTGTTCCTCATCCTTATATCCGACATAGACAAGGATGTCAGCCACAGCACCGTGTCTTCCTTTGCAGATGACACCCGAAT